GGTACTAAATGGGGAGAACTTGTAAGAAATTGCACACTGGTTAGGAATGCCTGGAAATAAGGATGAAAAGATGGAGGCTACCTTCATAAGGCATTTAAATTTCATTCTGGAAGTAACAGAGAGGAGAATCAGGGAATGCCTGATCAGATTTGTTGTTTGTAGGACCATTTCAGCAACACTATAGGGAGACTAGACTGGAGACAGGGAGACAAGAGTTTGTTGGGCAGCGAAGTGGTAACAGAATTATCTAAGGCAGGTGAGTGAGGCTGGGAAAAAAGAGAATTTTCTTTTTAAGACAAGATCTTAGCCAGGAACGGGTGACTCAGGCCTGTAATCCTAGCTACTCATGAGGCTGAGATCTGAGGATCACTGTTCAAAGCCAGCTGCGCAGGAAAGCCCATGAGACTCTTACTTCCAGTAAACCACTCAGAACCCAGGAAATGGCACTGCAGCTCAAGCACTAGAGTGCTAGCCTTGAGCTGAAGAGCTGAGGGACAGCGCCCAGGCCCAGAGTTCAAGCCCCACAACTGAATAGAGAGAAAAAGGAAAAGATTTGTAGCAGGGCACCGGTGGCTCACGCCTGTAATCCTAGCTACTCAGGAGGCTGAGATCTGAGGATCACAGTTCAAAGCCAGCCCGGGCAGCAAAGTCCGTGAGACTCTTCAATAAACCACTAGAAAACCAGAAGTGGTGCTGTGGCTTAAGCAGTAGAGCGCTCGCCTTGAGCTGAAGAGTGCAAGGACAGCGCCCAAGCCCAGAGTTCAAAAAAAAGAAAAGAAAAGATTTGTGGCTGGGAATGTGGCTTACTGGTAGAGTGCTTGCTTAGCATGTGTGAGGCCCTAGGTTTTATTCTTCCATACCATAAACAGAAAAAGCCAGAAGTAGGCTGGGAAGGTGGCTCAGTGGTAGAGCGCTTGCCTTGCATGCCAGAGGCCCTGGGTTCGATTCCTCAGCACCACTTACGCAAAAAGAAAAAAAGCCGGAAGTGGTGCTGTGGCTCAAGTGGTAGAGCGCTAGCCTTGAGCTGAAGAGCTGAGGGACAGCACCCAGGCCCAGAG